CCCTGCTGACCCCTGAACATGGTCAGCAACTGCCGTCTGGCTAGATCCGGTCCTGGTGTTAAGTTGGACACTCCAAGCTGCTTGCACTCATTTTGGACTGGTATTTAACCAGCTATTGGGAACTACTAATTAGGAGCTGCAGGAATTGGGACTGATCTGAGGTGTGAAGGTGCAGGAATTGGGGTTGGTGCTCAGCCCCAATTCCTGCACCTTTACACCTCAGATCTGTCCCCATTCCTGCACCTTGGGGACTGTGTGATGATGCAGAAAAGTGCAGGAATTGGGGCTTATCTAAGGTGTGAAGGTGCAGAAACTGGGGCCAATCTGGGGTCTGAAGGTGCAGGAACCGGGCTGATCTGAGGTGTGAAGGTGCAGGATTTGGAACGGATCTGAGGTGAGGTGTAGGAATTAGGGCTGATCTGAGGTGTGATGGGGCAGGAATTGTGGCTGGTCTGAGGTGTGAAGGTGCAGGAAACGGGAGTGATCTGAGGTGTGATGGGGCAGGAACTGGGCTGATCTGAGATATGATGATGCAGGAATTGAGCTGATCTGAGGTCTGATGGTGCAGGATGTGGTATGTGGGATTGATCTGAGGTGTGAAGATGCAGAAATTGGGGTGATCGGAGGTGAGAAGGTGCAGGAAATGGGGTGATGTGAGGTGTGATACAAGGTGTGATGGTGCAGGAATTAGGGTAATGTGATGTGAGATGGTGAAGGACACTGGTTGATCTGAGGTGTGAAGGTTCAGGAATTAGGGTGATCTGAGGTGTGAAGGAGCAAGCATGGGAGCTGATCTGAGACATGAAGGTGCAAGAATTGGAGCTTATCTGACATGTGAAGGTGCAGGAAATGGGGTGATCTGAGGGTTATAGTACATAAATTAGGATGATTTGAGGTGTGAAGATAAAGGAACTAGGCTGACCTGAGGAGTGAAGGCGCAAAGATCAATATTTATTACTGTTCTTCAAATTGTTTACAAAAATTCCTTTTCATGATTGAGCGTGTGAAGTTGGCCTTTTTTTTAATGTAGCTGGCACTCTCAAGTTCTTTAAAACATTTTTCGGCACATTATGCTCAAATGGTTGCCTAATCCTGCAATAGGTTTTAATAAAGCCTTCTCTTTTGAGAGTTTCTTTTTTATCAATCATTTGCATTGTTGTAGAAGCATCCTATACATTTGAAGCAGTATTAACTTCAATACCAGGCACTTTTACCCCCTTCCTGCCCAGGTTAATTTTCAGCTTTCAGTGCTCTCACAGTTTGAACGACTCAAGCAACATGATACCAACAGTGTTATTTAATCATCACTGGGCTTTTTAGTTTTTGCGATATAAAGTGAAAAAAGAAAAAAGTTTTACTTACTTTTCTTCATAAATGTAGGCCACAATTTATTCTGCTACATTTCTTTGTAAAAATAACCCAAATAAGTGTATTTATTTAGTATGGATTAATGAAAATTGATCAGTCCTGATGTACTGATGGCCTCTCTCATATCAGAACATTACAAATTACTTCTTTTTGGAATGTACACAGTCCAAGGTATTTAGTATAAGGCATGGTGAGTTTTTTTTTAAGCTGTAATTTTTGTTATACAGTTATTTGGAAAATGAAGAAATTTAGATATTTTTTTTCTATATTTTGCTTTTTACAAAATTATATTAGAGGGTTACTAAACCCACAACAGTAAAATCAGTCTGTACATGCAGTAAAGCATGCTTGTTATACTCACTGTAGAACCTAAGGGGCTAATCCTCTGCATTGTGTAAAAAAGATGTTTGTCCCTAATCCATCTGCTGAAAGAACAGAGCCTTGGTGGCTCAGTTTGGTGTGTATTTCTAGAGTGTTTTTTTTTACCTGGGAGAGTGCATATGATCATCACAGGGCCAAATCAGTGCTGTCCAGACAGTCAGGGGTCCTGCAGCCTCAAAGGACAACCAGGGAGAATGAAAACTCCTCCTCCTACAAGCTTTAACCAATTCTCTGCTGGACACTGAGTCACAAGACTGCTGATGAGAAAAACGTAGAAGTTTATTTTTACTAAAATAATTGCATTTCCATGTTCTGTGTACTGTGGGAGAACAGATATAGTGAATATATAGTCACGGGTTTAGTAACCCTTTAACAAGTTATTTCTCACACATGGCAATTGCACCCAAAATACATTCTGCTACTTCTCCTGAATAAAGGGATGCCACATGTGTTAGGCTTTTACTGTGTAGCCTTCGTATAGAGATCCAATATCCAAGGAGAACCTTCAGGTGTTCTAGGGGCATAAACTGCGCATCTAAGTTTCTGACTACCTATCACATTGTTTAAAGCCCTGGAGCACCAAGACAATGGAAACACCCACAAATGGACATTTTGGAACGCATTTTCTATGAGGCATAACAAGTCTTTTGAACAAGTCATTTTTTTTACCACAAGAAAATGAAAACTTTTTTTTTTGGTTACACAGAGGTATCAATTTGTAAGATATTTCTAACAAACAGCACGGACATACCAAGCATTACACCCCAAAATACATTCGGCTACTCCTGCTAAGAGTGACGATATCATATGTGTGAAACTTTTTCACAGCTTAGCCACATATAGAGTCCCAAATCCAAACAGCACCTTCAGGCGTTCTAGAGGCATAATAAACATCACAAAGACAATAGTGCAGAGTTAGGATAAATTAAAATGTATGCACAATACAATAGTGTAATGCAAATATCAAACTCTTGTGTGTCACCACAAATGGAAAAAATTAAATAAAGGAATCCAAATGTTAAGTCAAAAACTCTGAATTCAGTGGTTTTTCAATTCTGAGGGAAATGACAGATGTGGATACCAAACACCCAAACTTCTCAATGACAAACCACACAGCACCTTGGTGTGGTCAACCAGTACTTCTGTATCAATCCAAGATATCCAGCTTTCCTCAAAACCAAAATGTCAAACGGTGAATGATTATATCGGATCGAAGTGCATATATAATCAGTTCGACATAGGATCATCAAAAAGAAAGACACTTACCGTAAAGTAAACCCGATCAAAATACCAATTTTCATTGTAAGTGCATTTACCACATTAAACCACTTGCCTACTGGGCACTTTTAACCCCTTCCTACCCAGGCAATTTTCAGCTTTCAGCGCTGTCGCACTTTGAATGACAATTGTGCGGTCATGCAACACTACTCAAAATTTGTAAACTTTTTTTTGGAGACAGAGCTTTCTTTTGGTGGTATTTAATCATCACTGGGATTTTTTATTTTTTGCTAAACTAAAAAAGACTGAAAATTTGCAGAAAAAAAAGTTTTAGTTTGTTATAAAATGTTGTACATAAGTAATTTTTCTCCTTCACTGATGTGCGCTAATGAGGCTGCAGCGATGGGCACTGATGAAGAGGCACTGGTAGGTGGCACTGATGGGCATTGACAGACAGCACTCCTATATGGCACTGATAGGCGACACTGATTGTAACTGTTAGGCAGCACTGAAAAGCTGCTCTCATGGGCACCGAGATGTGGCATTGATGGGCACTGACAGGTGGAACTGATGGGGCTACACTGATCATCAGGGCACTGATCATCAGTGCCCCGATGATCAGTGTAGATGTCCCCTCTGAGGAATTCCGCTTACCGGCTCTACATTCGCGCTGTCAGCGTGAGGAGAGGACTGCTGATAACTGGCATTTCCTTGTTTACATGGGAGCAGCTGTGATTAGACACAGGCGATCACATGACAAAGCCAACGTCATCGGCTCATTACAGTGATCGTGATCTACTGTGTCCCAGGGACACAGCGCACCACTCATCGCCACTCTGCATGCCCCCAGGAACCCACGAGCACAGTTAAGAGTGGAAGGATGTGACATGACGTCTTCCCAGAATGAGAGAACCACCACCTGTCCGTCATTTCCTTATATGGCAGGCAGGAGGTGGTTAAAGATGACAACCAGGCACTTCATCATCATATAAACTCCTCGTGTTTTAGAATCCAAGAGCTCCTGATGTCATTTTTTGATGAATCTAGTAGGGCAGAGACAGAGCACATGCTACTACGCATATGTGATCCCGCTGCGGCCATCTTGGATTCTGGAACATGAGTTGTTTATTGATATGAAGTGCCTGGTTGTCAACTTTTCATTGTAACTGCATTTACCACATTAAATTGGTGTTTTAATCCGGATTACACTATGGTGAGTGTGTCTTTTTCATGATACTTTGTCCAACTGAGTACAATGATCTGATATAATACAGCAGTCCCCTCATTTGACATGCGGTTTTGAGGAAAGCTGGATATCTTGGATTGATACATAAGTGCTGGTTGACCACTCTTAATTGGGGATCATATGGTTTATCATTAAGAAGTTTGGTATCCACATCTGTCATTTCCCTCAAAATATAAGAACCACTGAATTCACAGTTTTTGGTTTCACATTTGGATTCCTTTATTTTATTTTTTCAAATGATGACACATAAGAGTTTGATATTTTTGCATTACACTATTATATTGCACATATATTTTCATGTATCCTAGAGCTGCAGTATTGTCTTGTAATGCTTATTATGTGATGTATTATGGTATTGTGCTAGCTGCTGTGTTTTGTAAACCACTTGCTCTCCTGAGGATTTACCCCCCTTCCTGACCAGGCCATTTTTTGCATTACGGCGCTGTGTTACTTTGACAATTGTGCGGTCATGCAACGCTGCACCCAAATGAAATTTACATCCTTTTTTCCCACAGATTGAGCTTGCTTTTGGTGGTATTTGATCGCCTGTGCGTTTTTAATTTTTTGTGCTGCAAAAAAAAAAAAAAAAAAACAACCCAATATTTTTGACTTTTTGCTATTAAGCACTTGCCTACAGGGCACTTTCACCCCCTTCCTGCCCAGGCCAGTTTTCAGCTTTAAGTGCTGTCGCACTTTGAATGACAGTTGCGCGGTCATGCAACACTGTACCCATATGAAATTTTTATCATTTTTTTTTTAGACAGATAGAGCTTTCTTTTGGTGGTATTTAATTACCTCTGGGTTTTTTATTTTTGCTAAACAAACCAAAAACAACTGAAAATTTTGAAAAAAAAAATAATTTTTTTTTCTTAGGTTTTGTTATAAAATTTTGTAAATAAGTGATTTTTCTCTTTCACTGATGTGCGCTAATGAGGCTGCAGTGATGGGCACTGATAGGTGGGCACTAGTAGGTGGCACTGATGGGCACTGAAAGGCAGCACTCATACATGACACTGATAGGTGGCACTGACTGGCACTACTGATAGGTGGCACTGACTGGCATTGATAGGTGGCAATGACTGTCACTGATAGGGGACACCGAAAGGCAGCTCAGTTGGGCACTGATGTGCACTGGTAGACACTGATATGAGGCATTGATGTGGCACTGATGGGCACTGGCAGGTGGCATTGATGAGCACTGACAGCTGGCATTGATAGGCACTGAGAGGTGGGCACTGCTGAGGCTACACATCATCAGGGCACACTGATCATCAGTGCCCTGATGATCAGTGTACATGTCCCCTCTGAGGAATGCCAATTACCAGCTCTCCTCTCGAGCTGTCAGCATGACAGCCTGTGAGGAGAGAAATGCCAATAACCGGCATTTCCCTATTTACATGCGATCAGCTGTGATTGGACACAGCTTATCACATGACCGAGCCGAAATCTTTGGCTCTTTCCGTTAATCGGTGATCCGCTGTGTCCAAGGGACAAAGCACACCATGTTAAGTCAACCGCATGTGTGGTTAGAGTGGGGGGATGTCATATGACGTCCTCCCAGAACGAGAGAACTGCCCTGAGCCCGTCATTACATTATATGGTGGGCGGGAGGCAGTTAAACTTGTCCAATAAGAAAAGAAAAAAAAAAAAAAATCAAATGTCATAAATTTAGGCCAAAATGTCTTTGCTAAAAAAAAAAAATCCCAATATGTGTAAATTAATTGGTTTACATGAAAGTTATAGCATTTAAAAAAAAAAAAATCCCAGTATATATACCGCCATTTGTAATTTTTTACAAGCAATGGCAGCGATCAGCGACTTATAGCGGGACTGTGGTGGGCATTCTGATAGTGAGGGGGAACTGACTTGTTGTCACTGACATCCCCAGTGACATAAATACAATGATCAAAGCAGTGTGCAGGAGCTGACAAACAGTTCTCCTCCCCGTCGGAGATGCTCGGCAATCACCAAGCGCCGACGAGTAATCACCGGCCGGGACAGAGTGATTGACAGCCGTGGTCGCAAATGGCAGTGCGGGTAGGGTGCGCACACGCCCCCTACCTGGAAATGCGAAATCACATTATATATATATATACATACACACATATATACACACACACACACACACACACACACACACACACACACACACAGTATTTTCTGGCGTATAAGACTACTTTTTATACTTAAAAATATACCCCATAAATTGGGGGTCGTCTTATACGCTGGGTATAAAATGTGAACCTTGGGTTTGTTTGGGTCAAGCTGGCTGGATGTGTGGTAATACTGTACATACAGTATGCCGTGCTGAGCCAAGCTGGCTCAAAACAAATGTCCCTATGAAAGCTTAATCTGTCAGCCTGCTGGATGTGCGGTATATACAGTATACTGCGCTGAGCCAAGCGGTTTCAAAACGTACTGGTACATCTCTACTGTAATCAGCCCGCTGGATGCGTGTATTTACGGAAGCTACGGCTACATACAGTATACAATCACGGCGAGTGATGTATTCTACTAATGAATACAAAGCCTGCTCGGATTGGCTGAGTCAGAGAGGTGGGCTAATGATGTCACAACCTCAGCCAATCCGAGCAGGCTTTGTATTCATTAGTAGAATACATCGCTCGCCGTGATTGGCACAGCGTATACTGTATGTAGCCTCAGCTACACACATTCAGCGGGCTGATTACCGTAGGGACGTACCAGTACGTTTTGAAACAGCTTGGCTCAGTATACTGTATATACCACAGTGGTATATACTCAGTATACTGTATATACCGCACATCCAGCAGGCTGACAGATTAATCTGTCATATGGACATTTGTTTTGAGCCAGCTTGGCTCAGCGCGGTATACTGTATGTACATTACTGCACATCCAGCGGGCTTTATATATACTGTATGTAGCCGAAGCTACCGTATTACCGCACATCCAGCGGTAACCATCTGATTTGGAATTTGATCCATATGATGACTGTCTTACAAATATATCACAAGATGTCATTCATGAACTTATGATGTCAGAGGATGAACATGAGGATTTTGAAGGATTTTAAGTACCGGTAAGTCATAACCATTTCAATTAAAAAAATCTGATGTTTTTAAATGGTGTTGCCTTGGAAGGGGGGTAGTCTTATATGGGGAGTATAGCCCAAAACCTATGTTTTAACTGGAAAATTAGGGGGTCGTCTTATACACGCAGTCGCCTTATACGCCGGAAATTACGGTATATATATATATATATATATATATATATATATATATATATATACACACACACACACACAAACACACACACACATATACAGGAAGCGGTTAACATCCAACAGAGCCCTAGTGCATTTTCTCGTTCTGGTTTTAGGGGCATCAATTACACATCTAATTTCCTGACCAACTATCACACTGGAGCACCAGGACAGTGGAAACACACACAAAATGACCACATTTTGGAAAGCAAAACACCCAAATGTATTTTCTATGAGGCATAATGAGCCTTTAGAACATATTTTTTAAACTTTTTTGGAAAATGTGGAAAGAAAATGAGAAAGTGTTTATTTTCACAAAGTTGTTAATTTATAAGATATTTCTAACACAGCATGGACATACCAAGTATTATACTCTACAATACATTCTGCTACTCCTCCTGAGTATGGAAATACCACATGTGAGACTTTCACAGGCTAGGTAAACAGAGTAAACAAAAGATAGTAGAGCATTTGTCTGCAGAGGAGAGCATTGGTCCAGGCAGCAGGGAGGAACATAGTTCTCAAAAAGGCCAGGATCAGTACAGGCAGCAGGGAGGAACATGGTCCATAAACATTCCAGGGACAGTACAGGCAGCAAGCAGAGATATGGTCAGCACAGCCAAAGTACTGGTCCAGGCAGCAAGCAAAGATATGGTCAGCACAGTCAAAGTACTGACCAGGGCAGCTGGCAGGAACAAGGTCCATAAACATTCCTGGGTCATTAAAGGCAGCAAGAGATACAACGGGTAAAATAAGTATTGGACACATCACCATTTTTCTAGGTAAAATATATTTCTAAAAGGTGCCATTAACATGAATTTTTTACTACGTCGGTAACAACCCATGCAATCCATATATACAAAGAAACCAAAACAAGTATGTTCAGAAAGTTATGTGTAATAAAATGGAATGACAGGGAAAAAGGATTGAACATGCTAACTGAAATTTATTGAATACATCGTACAAACTTCATTTTTGGCAATGACAGCTTCAAGATGCCTCCTGTATGGAGAAACTAGAAGCATGCATTGATCAGGTGTGATTTTGGCCCATTCTTCCACACAGTCTACAAATCTTGAAGGTTCTGTGGTTTCTTCCATGAACGCTAATCTTTAGTTATTTCCATAGATTTTCTATTGGATTCAAGTTAAAAAAAAAAATAAAGCTACTAGAATGGCCCAGCCAATCACCTTTCTTTGAAACCAACTGAGAGAGTTTCCTTGGTTTTGTGTTTGGGGTCATGATCTTGCTGAAATGTCCACCCTTGTTTCATCTTCATCATACTGGTAGATGGCAGCAGATTTGTATCAAGAATGTCTTGGTACATTTTTCCATTCAACCTTCCTTCAATGATATGAAGTTTGCCAGTACTGTATACTAAAAACCAGTCCCACACGATGATGTTCTCACCTCCAAGCTTCACTGTTGGTATGGTGTTTTTTTTTGTTGATGCGCAGTGCCATCAACAAAAAGTGTAATACATCCAAAGAGTTCAATTTTGGTCTCATCTGACCAGACTATATTCTCCTAGTACTTCACAAGCTTGTCTAAATGTGCAACACACTTAAAACAAGCTTCAACATACTTTTTCTTCAATGCAATGGAGTCTTATGGAATGGAGTCTTATGTGGTGAGCATGCATACAGGCCATGGCGGTTGAGTGCATTACTTATTGTTTTCTTTGAGACAACTGTACTTGCTAATTTCAGGTCTTTCTGAAGCTCTCTCTCTAAGTGATCCTTGGCTCTTCTGGTAATTCTTTTCACTCCTCTGTCATAAATCTTGCAAGGAGCACCTGGCCGTGGCTAGTTTATGGTGAAATTATGTTCTTTCCACTTCTGGATTATGACCCCAACAGTGCTCACCAGAGGCGTAGCTAGGATATTTTGCGCCCGGGGACGAACGGCCACCTTATGACACCCTGCTCCCCCCCCCCGCTTCATATGCTCCCTGTAGACACACCCCCCGTCCCGATCACATTGCCCCCCCCCCTTCATCCATGGCACTACTCACCCGGCTCGGCTCTCCCCTCGTTCCCTCCGGCACATGCCGGGCTCACTGCCCTCCTCTCCGCTCCTCTCCCGTCCGGCTCCTCTCTCCTTGCATAACTCACTGTGAATGGCAGACGTATCAGATGACATGTCTGCTGCAGCGATCTTGTGACCTCATTTTGGTGCCCCTGTACCTTGGCGCCCGGGGTACATATGTACCCCCCCTGCCACCCCCCAGCTACGCCTTTGGAACATTCAGAAATTTAGAAATCCTTCTGTAACCAATGCCATCAGTATGTTTCGCAACAATAAGGTTGCCAAGGTCTTGAGAGAGATCTTTGCTTTTACTCATCATGAGATGTTTCTCATGTGACACATTGGTAATGAGACACCTTTTTATAAGCCATCAGTTGAGACTGAACCAGCTGATATTAATTTGCACTGACAAGGGGCAGGATTGCATTCTAATTACTGATAGATTTAAGCTGGTGTCTTGTCTTTTCATGCCTTTTTGCACCTCCTTTTCTTTATGTGTTCAATACCCTTTCCCTGTGTCTTCCATTTTATAACACAACTTAATTTCTGAACTTATTTGTTTTGGTTTCTTCGTATGTATGTATTGCATGGATTGTTACCGACATGTGGTGAAAATTTCATGTCAGTAGCACCTTTAGAAATAGATTTACCTAGAAAAATGGTGAGGTGTTCAATACTTATTTTACCCGCTGTATGGTAAGCACAGCCAAAGTATTGGACCAGGAAGCAGACAGGAACATGGTCCATAAAATCCCTGGGTCAGTGTAAGCAGGCAGCAATATTGGTCAGCACAGCCAAAGTATTGGTCAAGGCAGCAGACAGGAAACTATCAGGCAAAGGACTGCAGTCAGATAAGACCTGGGCACAGGGGTAGAGGATTCTTTCCACCCAAATCTCTTGGAAGCCTCTGGACTGCAGACCCTGATCCAAAAATT